CACACACACACACACAAAGTTGAACTGCACATGGACAAGATTTGTGCAAATAGACATGAACAAGATTTGTGTGTCTTAACTCTCTTTGCGCGACGAACAATCAGAACAAAGTTAACAATTAGTGTTGACAAAGTCACAGATGTATCGGCGCACGGAACTGAAAGAATTAAGAAAGTTTATAACATTAGATTGAGCCTTCTCATCGATGACTCGGACAGAAGTGAAATAAAAACAGTAACTTAGGACTTAGGCTTAGGGAATTTTTATACCTTTACCTCTGTTGAACGACTCCCTCCCCCTGACCCAAGCTCTTCGGCTGGCGGCAGAGAGACGTCTGTTTCTTCCCGCGACACCCAAAAGGGTATAAGGGTATAAGCGGCAGATAAAAGTAAAAGTAAAGTAAGAACGACTCCCACGAAAATACAGTAACAAGTAACGAAAAAAAACAAAAAAGCTATAACGTATTCTCTGTTGAACGATTTCCACAAACATTTAGCACAGAAACGAAGAACATAAAAGAAATGTATAACGTTATCTTTGTTGAATGAATCCGGCAAACATTTCGCACTGAAACAAGTAACACAAAAGAAACGCATGATAATGTTACCTTTTTTAAACTCATCTATGACCCGTGCTCTGTCAACGCCGATGGCTGTAATGGCGAGGAACGTCTCTGAAGTCTTGCCGGCGCCCATTCTGATCTTACCCTGTAAGTAAATTGCTGTTGTTGTTGTTGTTGTTGTTGTTGTTGAGTTGTTGTTGTTGTTGTTGTTGAGGTTGTTGTTACGGGGTGGTGGTAAGTTATGGTAGTAGTTTTTGTAGGTTTTTGTGGCTTTGTATTTTATTTTATTTTGTTTATTTATTATTTACTTTGGTGCGTTGGTGGGTGGTTTGGTTTTTTAGAAAAAAATGGAGGGCGGGCGGGTTGGTTCGATGATAATGATGATGATAATAATAGTAAGAAGAAGAAGAAGAAGAAGAAGAAGAAGAAGAAGAAGAAGAAGAAGAAGAA